CTAGCGAGTTGCGTGTTATGCAAGCAGTTGCAGGCTCTCAGTTATTCAAAAAGGCAACAGATTGTCAGGGGTGTGTTTTGGGGCAAGTTTTTACTATTCATTATAATATGTTGTTTTATTTCACTTCTGCATATCTGTCATTCAGTTTTCCATATGTAACGGGTGAGGCTCTGAGACTGAGTGGTAATAACGATCATATTTTCTCTGTTGATCCCAGGCGTCGGTCTACCTGCGAATAGACAGGGCTTCCGTCGGTTGTATTCAACACTTCATTGGCAAGAGTTGCCCGAGGAGGGGAGGTTATTTTTAATTAAACCTGTCTAGTGCGAGTAATAGAGCAGGAGGAGGAACCTAGTGAAGCAATTGGGTTATTTTAAGGACTGGAGCGTGTAAGAGACGGAAGGATTATGCGAGGTACTAAATGCTAAGGCAAAGCCAAGAGACTAAGGCAGGCATGTAATTTTCTGTGCCCTCGAATGCACCAGGCTGAGCTAATGAAACCGGATTTGACGATTCCTTACACGGAGATTAAGGAGGGGGTGGCATTTTGTTATGTAGCACCCAGATGCCCCCTCAACAGAAGCAAAGCTTTCACTTTTGCAACGCCCGGGTACAAAGAAGTAGAAATTCCTCAGTGCAAATTTTCTGTACTGTTACCGTCCATAGCCTGGGTACAACGAACCCTGATCTTGAGGGCACAGACTTCAACAGAATATGCCCTAGGACAGACATTGGGCATTAGACCCCCTTTGATCCTTCTCAAATGAGACCCACTTTTACACCCTCTTCTCCTGCCATTAAAACATAGGATCATTGCTTAACATCTGATGAATCCTGTGTTTCTTGGATAGAGAAGTGTTGGAGGGGGAGAGAGAGCATGATTGAAAGTTCATAAAAGACTTGCTGTCTTTTAACTGTCTCAGTTGTCACTTAAAGTGAAGTTTCTGGCCTTTAAGGTTGTGGGAGAAGGCTATAAAATATGATTTCAAAGGTTTAAAAAAAGCGTGGGGGGATCAGATGGAAGGAACTGTGTGCACGTGTGTATTAAATTCCATTTTTAAGGACATCTACTTTTGAGAAGGGACTAATTAGGATTAGGGATTTATGGAGTTGGTGAGACTGAAGGGCCGATAGGGGTGCACTGATAGAGGTTTTGGGGGCTGATACCGAGGGCCGATTTGGATGTATGGAGTTGGTGAGACTGAAATAATGGAAGCTCAATGGGGATTTGTAAGTATAGTTCATAGGTTTTTTTTTTAATCGGGCTTAATTTACTCATTTGCTACAGAAACAGGATGATACAGGCCAGTGTCTAACATAAACCTGCCTGGCTTGTTCAATTCCGGAGAGGCAAAGAAAATCCTAACAGGAAAACACTAACTTTTCCCTTGGTGCACGACCTAAAAAATTGCACAGACAAGGAGAAAGGAGATGATACTGATTTGTTAAAGCTTCTGAAGTATATGATTTATGGCATAGGCAGGTTTAGAAATGGTTTGGAAACGAGGTCAGAAATGTGTGTACTTGGCTTATTAAGACGGAAGGTAAGTAAATAAGGGCAGACAATTGTGTGCTAGATTTTATTAAGACTGAAGGCAGGAAAAAAGAAAAGCCAGCTATGAAAGTACAGTGGATATGGATAGAGAGTGACTTAAGGGAGAGGAGCGCTGAGATTTGAAAGTGAATTTGAGAAGTCTCAGGAAAAATGGAAGATGACATTAAGGAGCACTGTACTTTGAATCTCTGCCTATGAGTGGTGTTATATCTGGGCAATGGTTAAGGTGCAAGATGCAGATGATGGATTATCTGGCTGGTTGAAGAGAGATTTAGGGTCCGCGCATAAAAATGTTAAGGATTAAAGGTGAATGAGGCATGTAGTGAGGCTCCTTCTCTTCTACAGGTTGTTGCTCTTAAACATGGGCATTACTTTAAACCGAAGATGGGTGTAGAAAGGCACAGGGAATCGTGCAAGGAGGCTGCACGAAAGCAGATGTGTGAGCAAGACAACAAAGTGGAAATTTTCAAATGATAAATCGGGAAGGAACATTTTAGTGGTTGGATAGCCTTTGCTTTGCAGGGAACTGCAATGGGTACACAACTCTAAAAACAGAACTGCCAAAAGGTATTAAGGGGTCGGGGGGAGAGACTAACTGGAGAGAAGAAGGATAATGCAGGAACATAGGAGAGTAACCCAAGGATGTTGACAACTTGTCCTGAACCCTTGCCCACAGCAGAGGAAATACTTTTGACGGGGAGGGTTGCAATTTTCGGAAGCACCGAGAAGATTTCAGAGCAGATTTACCATTGAAAGTTGTCAAGCTGAAGCTCCTAAAGAACAGAGGCACTTCTGAAAGCATTTCCTCGAGGCTTTGAAAACGGCCTGAGGAGTTTAGAAGAACAAGTCCCGATTCCAGAAGTGACCTGGGCATTGGAGATCCTGATTCCCCTTGATGACAACTTCAGACCAGATTTTTAGAGAGGCAAGGCACGTAAATACCTTGAAAACTATGGCCTTAAGTAGATGTCTTATTTTTAAAAAGTGCATGTAAGCTCCTAAAACACTTAGGTGCCTTATCACTTAGGACAGTGATTTTCATTTGCGGATCCCTTTTTTCCATTTGTGGACCCCTAAAAAAATGTTAATGGAGGTGCAGACCCCTTTGAATTGGAAGTGTGGGTATTCACGTACTTTTGATTGATCACAGTCATCTTTTGCGGATCCCTTAGACATAGACCACAGATTGAAAACTACTGACCGACAATGCTCTGAAGACTTTTGGGTGGCAGTAGTATTTCTGGTGTAACAGGGCAAATCATCAGCTGGTGCACACACAGGTTGTAATGTGAGTACAGTGGTGCTAGGAAAATCTACACTAGTTGAGCCTCATCATCACTTTTGTTCTTTCACTACAGCATTGTGAGCCTCCAGCACAAATTAAAGCTTTGAGTGCCATATCATGCGAGGTATTAATCAGGAAAGAGCAGTATTTGCATATTATTAGCATTATCGTTCCATATGATTGCGCAGTGTACTAATGTAAGCCAATTTGGCCTGTCTTTTAAATATATTTTATATATATAATATCTCATTTTCTGGCTGTAACTGCGGTGTTCAATTTTTCAGCCCCATGTTCTGGAGTGGCGTGGGGCATGCCTGTAGGCCAAATCCTGTATGGGGTTGGCACTTGGCCTGGCCCTGCACACCTGGATAGGACCCTATGCTACCTCGGCCCGACCCTGGGCACCCAGTCTAGCATGCAGGGCTGCACTATGCAGCCCACAGGACTTCCCGTGGGTCTGGAAATTTGGCAGCAGGGAAATGATGGTGCTGCCACTACTCCCCCATCCCCAGACTTTCAGAGATCTACAAGCTGATTGCCATGGCTCAGTGGGCCAAGTTTGGCTCGTGGGTCAGGGGTTGGCACACCTGGGTTACAACACCACTCTCACCACAGTCTGCGGTATAACGGGGTTCACCTGGCGAGTGGGATGAATACCTGGGTGATCTAATCAAACGTTACTGAATTTTGGGAATGAATAAGTAAAATAAAAAAGAGACTTTCCTATAAGATGTCAGAAAAAGAACTTTGTAAACACCAGTTGGGTTCTGCTTTATTTAATATAACGTAGTCAGATATGTATGCATGTCACCAAGTGGACATATGTTGTGTTAGAGGTCTTTTCCGACAAGCCTGCTAACTGCGGCTTTGCTGAAATCAGGGGGTATATGTATGTGTGTGGCTGCTGACTTTTCACAGTAGATCATGTTTTAATAATTAAGCCTCCATGGAAGACAATGGGACCAGAAGGATTGCAGGCAAAGAACATCAGAGTTTCATTTAACATTACAATCGTTTTTTCCTGGTTTGTTTATTTATTTATTTTTCCATCTTGTCTACCTCCGATTATACTACAGTTTATCAAAGCATCAGAAAAAAAACTTCTTCCAGGATGCAATTGCTGTCTGCTTGTTCAAGTCAAGTCATTGTTAAAGTCATCTTCAACAATTTCTTTCTGCAACTCGGATTCTTATTTTTAGAAAGTTTGCTGCGGTGTTGTTTGAGACAGGTGTAAGCTAGGAACCTGGTACACTGTTTATATTCCCCATGCCAAACTTGGTTTCGGATATTTTTTTTTTCTTATTGCCTTGAAGTGAGAATGGGTTGTTTTCTTTCTTTCTTTTATTATTACTGAAAGGTCTTCAAACTTCTGTTTAATTTTTGAAGGATTTATGTCTCTTAAATATCCAAGTGAATAGAAAAGATTGTATTCCTTTAAATCCCAATTTGTAGAGAAAGCAGCTTGAGAGCTGGGTAAGTGAATTAGCACATGGGTTAAATTTACAATAGGAAGGAGTATGTGGGAGCTGCCTATTCAGAGTGTTAAAGAAATAATAGGATTAGTTCTTGTAGTCTCAATGCAGAAATTTAAAAAATGCAGACTTCAGTCTGACATAGAAGCATGTGTTCTTGGCTGGGTCTTTTGTGTGAAATCAAAGACAATGAAAATTTAAGATGCTTTTGCTTTGAGGTCCTCCAGTTGAATCTTTTAAGGTGGCTCTTTTGTATGTGCACAAAAGGTGAATTTAGTGTGTTAAATACCTGACTAATGATTCCCCCCCACTTCTCTCCAAGCTTGTTTTGCAATCACTGGGATCTTGATTGGGACTACATCACTGGTAAAATATTGCTACCCTAAAACATTGATGTTAAACATGCTTTTTCTTAAATCACTAATTTATCTTCCAATGTTTTAGTGATGGGAATGGAAATGCTGTGCATGCAGGCATTCTTTCCATTGTAATATTTTTAAGTTAAATGTCATTCATTGTTCAAATGTATGCACAGCTAACGTGTATACATTTTTGTCCATTCTTCTGCAGTAGGCGTCTTCATATACAATGCGCATTAGTTCAGATGCTTGAAACAGAGAGCATTATTTTCAGTTTCTTGTGTTTGTTTTATCATTTCATAATCATTCATATGTATCTTTATTTTTAGCTTAAGCCAAAGCCATGAAGCATTAAGACTGAATGGGGGTTATTTTGAGATCATCTGATTTCCTACTAGAAGGTGCTGTGAGATATCATCGCCTTGAAAACCTTCAAAGAGAATGGTAATGAAAAAAGACAGGCTTTTTTGTTGTTGTTGTTGTTTTTATTTTGCATCACAAGTCTTCCTTCCAGAGCTGTTCCCTGTTATCATACAGGTCGTACGGAGCATTTTACTTTCCATAAATCCATATTCTGTGATGGGAAGGGAAGCCATGCAGCGTTTTCCCAGGTAGAACAACATATTTCAGATTTAAAGTTCAATGCTGTTGGAAGAAGTGCGTGTTTTAAGCGTTAACCTTGTTTGTCTGGTATATAGCTTGATAGCTAGCACATGCTTAAATACTCCTCCGAATTGGGAGCGTAGAAATGAAGCCAGAATAAAAGCCTTTATTGCTTTTCAGAATGATTTACTATAAGCATTTTATTTATTTTCTGCTTTTGCTTGTTAGCAAATGTAGCATTTCCTTGTGAACTTTGAAACAGCAATCTCACTTTGGGGTGAAAGATGCTCTAACACCGTTTTGAATAGTAGCTAAACTAAGTATTTATTTAAATAGATTAGCAAGCATAAGTCTTATGTCACTTTATACTGTTTGAAACACTCTCCCTAGAAGCAGAATGTCCTTATCTTGGAAGCAGTTGTACGTAATACTGGGCGGATCATAATTCAGAGTTTTAATAAAAATTCCTGTAAAATAGGAATTCATTTATGATAGCCATGCTATATATATATATATTTTACAAGGAGTTTATTGCACATGCTAAAGTATTGTGTGGTGCTGTAATCTGTCGGGTACATCTCTTCTATTCAGGCACAGCACATAGTCTTCCGTCTCTGTTTGCTTCACTTACATTATGGCTAATGGAAGTTGATTACTTGCAGCCAGAGATCATTATCATTTATATACATAACATTTAATCCAGTTGATGGTTTGGAAGTATACAAGTCTTTATCTATACTTAATTCTGTGTCCCTTTGCCCAATAGCAGTTCGCACTGTAAAGCCTGGTGTACACACAAAACTGTCATCAGTTTAACACTATAGGCTTGGGCTGTGATTTTTTTTTTTCTTTCTTTCTTATACAGTTTTACCGGTACAACCTGCAGTGTGGGTGCAGCTACACCACAGTAACATGCCCTGTACCAGTACAGAGTGGTATTTCCCTGAAGGAAATACTCCTATAAAACACTTCTGCACCAGCAGACGGACACCCACGCTATAGAGGATATGCCATTTTCCCACGTGTGTAGACTTTCACAGGTTAATTGTGCCCCTTTTATAGTAAGTGGGACCTGGGCTTCACACTCACCCGTGTTCCCTTTTGGCACTCTCTCCTGTTGTGCACGGACAGAACAATTGTCACCTACTGACAGCAACACTTATAGTTGAGTGTGTTTTTTGACACTGCCTCAATTTGTGTCAACTGTGCAACAGATGACTTAATGTGCAGGTGTCACTGCAGCCCATCTCCCTGCACTGGAGTTGGGCACAGTATCACCTTAGCAGTTGGTTGTGTATCAATATTTATTTTAATCCAAGCCATCTGCTCGCAGCCTGTAGTTGCTGAGGAAGCCCTGTGACTACCGCTGAATTTTATTTTGCTGAACAAAGCTGGTCTCTTTGTAAAAAGCTGTAGTTAAAAGACAGCCCCGAAGAGATTGGACCTTGTGAGGGCCTGGGGTCCATATGGAAGGCATTACACTGCCTACAAAGAAGAAAGAAAAAGAAACCCTTCTGATTTCTGACAAGAGCCCAGGGATATTGCTGTCTAACCACATGATTTTACTGACATTAGGTCAAACCCCCACCAATCGCACGTGGCTGAAACCAACAGCTAGTTGCAAAACATTGTATTTGGGAATTCGAAAACCCCAGGAATTCCCTCTGATGATATTTTATTTAGTGCTAAGGGCTAGTAGTATTTAAAAAAAATAATAACTCTAAGCTTTCCTCTGTAGAAGGTGATCTCAGCCCTGATGAAAGAAATGAGAAAACTCCCATTGCCTTCGCTGTGGCTAGATTTCCCTCGGGTTCCTGAGCCTGTACTGGCTTTCAGTATTGCAGACCCCAGGCCTTTATGGGCAGCGGTGTTTGTGCTGATCCTAAGGCAGGACCAGGGCTACAAATGAGGTGTAGTTGTCCGTGGCCGAAGCCCAAAGAGATGTTGATGGAGCCATGCCAAATTGATACCAGCTGAGGATCTGGCTCTGACACTTGAGCTTTTATTGGAGGAAAAGCTCCAGAGGATCTGGCTCTGACACTTGAGCTCATGCAGAGGGGCTGGACCTGATGATCCTTCGGGGTGCCTTCCAGCCCTACGAGTCTACGATTTAGCAGAGAAATCTAAAAATCTGCAGATACAACCCTCACAACAACTCGCTGTCTAGAAAATGTTAATTTTAAGCCGTGAGCTCCAAGGGCGCGCTTACACCGCCTCTGCTCCGAGTCGGAGAGCGCAGCTAAGGGAGCCCGTCCCATCCACTCGGTGCTGCTCCATGTGCCCCAGAGCCTGGGACAAGGCCACGTGGCTGTCCGATTGCATGGCAGGAACCGCTCCTTTTCTCAGGCCGTGTTTAGTAGTGGGTGCTCAGTCCTGCCCCGGGGCATCTAGACCTCCTTTTGGTGTCCGCGGAGCGGGAGCGAGTGGGCCGGGCGTGCTGCACGGCGGCATCCCCGGGCTTTGTCTGGAGGTGCTGCAGACAAGCTCAGTTGACAGCCAAGAATGCACAGTTGTATTTTGAATAGGAAATATGTTGAACAGCCGCACCGATGCCTTTAGTATGTTCCTGTGCCAACAAACCTACATTTTGGTTGTTTCCCACCTCGCCACGAGAATAGTTTCCGTTCAGTATGTTGTTTTCTGCAGCTTGAAGCCTTATGCGGAGCTTTCTTTTATGAGTTTCTTTCTTCCTTTATGGTGAATTAATGTTTGTCAAGCCCCATTTTTATTTACTTTAATCCTTTTTTTTTTTCTTTTTCTTTTTTTCTTTTAGGTCTGAAAGGTTTTTTTTTTGGCGGTGGCATGTTCCAGAACTTGGATCAGTTTTACATTTTCATTTAGCATGAGAGAGTTTTTTTTTTTTTAAATTTGTGTGTCTGTATAAAAATAAACTTCCATCGGAGGACTTCAATGTGCTTTCAGATCTAGGTATATGTATGAACACTGCTGTTTGCACCAATGAACTGAAAGTAAGGGGAGGGAGAAACTTTAGTCGAGGATAATTGGGTCTTGTCAAGGTACCATCGCAGATGGGGCAGATGATCCCAAAGACGGGCGCAGAGTAAAGTGGAGGGGTTTTGGTTTAATTGCTTCGCAAGCAGGAAGAGCTAAGGCATCTCTGCCTTGTGCCTTTTGAGCATGATCCTCTGGTTTAGCAAGAACTCTCCAGTGCGTTGCGAATGAAACGAAACCGAAGACACTGTCCCATTGCTAACGGGCAGAGAAGGCCGAGCCGGGACGTGCAGGGGCCGCGTGTCTCGCTCACGGCAGCAAAGGCAGCTGCTAGAAACCTCAGGCGAAATCCCAGAGCCATTAAAGTCGGTAGGAATTTTACCACTGCTTTCAGCAGGGCCGCACTTTCACCCCCTCAAATGAACACAGCTTTTAAACAGAAGTGTAACATTAATCAGGCGTTTAAGACCCACTCTTTTAATCAAAGCCCTTAGTCGTGTGTTTAAGCACTTGCTGGACTGGGGTCAGAGTAAGTATGGTATTTTTCAGAGACGGTGCATTTCTGATGGTGACAATACCTATCTGTTACGTGTGAAAACTACATGAGCTCGGTGGGAAAATGAACACGGTGAAGGTTTGTTTTAGGGTTTCCAGGCCACAATCAGGTGTTTTATGCCTGGAGAATCTCAGGGCATTTTTACACGTGGTTCTAATGCAGCGCCTGGTGCTTTTAATTAGCAAGCCAGACTAATTAAAAGTACCCGGCACTGCGTATGGAGCAGGTATATCAGTGGTGCAGTGCGCATCCGTGCTGAGAAAATGGCAGTGGTATGCTTTGAACTAAAGCACATAAACGTGTTTTAGTTCAAAGTGCACCGCTGCCATTTTCTCAGCGCTGATGCACGTGATGCGTAAGGCTGCCGGCGTGCTTCAGTTTACACGCTCAAACAGACTTGATTAATCATGTGTGCTCTGACACGCTGGATTTTCAGCACATCAGAGCAGACTCCCCGCATGTGTGTAAGTGCCTGTATTGACTATAACAGGATGGATTGGCCTCTATAGTGAAGATTAAGGGAAAGTACAGTAGCAAGTCCTGTCCATTTATTTATGGCAGTGCGATCTCCAAGATGATGTTTTCTCCATATAACCATATTTCTTTAGAAACAGCTTTCCTTTAAAAACCCATTAGAAGCTGAATAAGTAGGTTTGATCCACCTGTGTCTTAGAAATATAGACAGCCTGCTGAGCCTTGTAAAGGAACAGCAGTCAAAGGTATAGCCTGGTAATTTTGAGAAGTATATCCAGAGTTCAAAACATTCAGCAGAAGTTTAAACAAATTGGGGATAAAAATGATCTACTATCCCTTTTTTTGCCAGTGCAAGATTATCCTATGCTGTATGTATTAGAAGCCTTTGTTTAATCCGGTTTTAATCCAGCACTGGGTTTCTTCAACTCTATTTTCTGTGGTCTGGTCTCCAAGACAGGAGACAGGGCTGGGTGGTACCTCAGAGGCTGACTGGTTCAAAAAGGCATGAGCTTTCATGGGCAACAACCTACTCTGACGTAGGAGTTCTCACTTGATATCAAGACTCAGTTTGTATTTCCATGACTACATCCCATTTCACCTTGTACCAAAAGAAATAATGCCTTGCCTTTGTCTTTGAATATGGCTTTCAAGAGTAATAATCATAGTCGCCCCAGTTCCCACATTTAGTGTAGACTTAATGAAGTTGTATCTAAGCCCCGATCCTGCAGATGCCCTTGCACGCAAGCTTCTACACACATTGTCTCATTGAGCTCTTGGATAGGGCTAAATTGTGTTACCTAATGGCTCTTGTGAAAGATGCATATATTTTGGTTTGACACAAGTGCTGGTGAGTCTAGAAATGCCCCAAGCCAAAGGGAGGAGGAATGCATTGAATCTCAGTTCCTAGCACTGTAGCAGAGTGCTTTAACTCTCAATCCTGAACTTTTAAAATGAAAAGCTGTTGTTGATTCCTATTCAGTTTGTAAAATCATTACTCCTTCCTCCCCAATAAATCTATATTCAGGGGCTTAAAATACTTGTCTTTTGATCCTTTGATGTACTTCGCATCGTATTTAAGTGCTGACCATGCGCTTGGCGCTGTACAGTCCATGTTCTTAGTCTGGGGAGGAGTCACTATCTGGCAAAGCACAGAAGTGCCAGCTCAGTGTTAACCACGTGTATAGTTCTCCTGTGCGTGCCCTTGGTTAGACTGAAGCCAGGCTGCCTAGTGCCTCGCAGTATAATACTGTTACCATCCTAGGGATATGTAGGACTCTTGTCACTGTAATGCCCAAGCCTCTCGCATCCGTTTGTGAATTCTCCTCACTAAGTTTTAGGCCAGTGGTTCTCAATGTTTTTGCACCCTCGCTGGACTCCATAACTTTTGTGAACTGACCAGCACCTAATTTCAAAATCTACTTTTTAAAATATATTGCAAGGCTTATCTCCTTATGCAGGGGATGTGCAGGAGACGTGGGGATCACCCAGGCAGGCACAAGCCTGAGCCTGGTTTATCTCCTTAGCCCTGGCACCTTAGTTGAGATGAACTACTCTAGGCAGTTAAAAAGCACTGCTCTCCCAATTTTGCAGGTAGGGAATTTAGGTACAGAGACATTTAAGGAGAAGAATTGAAATGCTGCTGTCTGAGGCCAGTTCGCAGAACCCCTGCCCCACTTAACTACTCAGGGGACCCAAACCTCTTATGTGCCTAAATATTCATGAGAAAAATCTACTTGGGTGCCTAATGTTCAGCTCTGTGTAGACCTAAAGCTACCACTGTTTGGTCTCAGCACAGTATTCAAGCTCTTATGTGTCTGGATGGGATTCCTAAATTAGGTGTTGCTGCACCTGACCTCTGAGGAGCTGCATCCAGCACAGGCGGTGTGGGTGCTCCCAGTCCTGGGTAACACCCGGGACTTCAAAACTCATAGCCTCTCTCATCTAAAAATGTGGTTGGCAGGGAAGAGACTTGGGAGAGGCCTTTTCTGTGATAGTCTGGTATGTAGAGCACCTACCCAGGGAGGGGAAGACCTGTGTTAGTACTCCTCTGAGCCTGTGGGGATTCAAAGCCATCTTGCATCTCCCAGGCGAATGTCTCAACTACCAAGTGATAGAGTGGGCTGGGATGGGGGGCACGCTCCCTTCCTGTAGGAGCTGGGCAACTGTTGGCCCACAAGCAGGATTCATGGGGACAGAGGGAGTGCAGGTGAGAGGTAGCCAGACTAGCTCCCCCGAAGAAGGGAAGGGGTCCTGGATTCTGTTTCCTGTCGTGCATACGCGTAAGAGTCATATATGCATAAGAGTTGCTGGATAAAATGCAGGGACCAGAAACCAGCTCCCCTGTCCTTCCCCATGGGGCAGTTCTCTCTTCACTGGGCTTAGTCAGGTTCCTTTTTCTAATCCCCCTGAATCTTGTATTCCTTCCTGTACAGCACCCCAGCTTCAACAGGAGAGGTGTGGGGGTGCCCCACCCCACCCATGTCTCCTCCCATGTGGGTTAGAGCACTTTCATGGGAGGGAGCAGATGAGGTTTTGACCCCTGGATGAGTGCTCTAAGCACCAGGCTGTTATACAAAAGTGAGAACTAGCTGTACCATCTCTATGACGTTCCTAAAAGAAAAGGCATGAGCAAGTCATCTATGGCATTTGTACACATGCACGCGCTGCAGTACACATGTACTCTGATGCGTATATTTTAAATGGAGAAAAGTGCGTCAGTGCTGTGAAAATGGCAGCGGCGCACTTTTTTGAACTAAAATGCATCGAAGGTGTTTTAATTCAACAGTGCATCGCCGCCACTTTCTGTGCGTTAACACGCATTTTGCCATTTATACAAATGCATGTGACGCAGTGCCAGGCATGTCGGCTCATGCGCTCCGCAGACTTGGTTAATCAAATCTGCTCTGCTGCGCTGGATTTCTGGTTCCTTGGAACAGAGAAAGGTATGTGTATAAGTGCCCCTAGGTAGAAAATGTTAAGCAAGGGCTTCAGGCTGTTAATCCCAGTCTCATGCAGGCATCACACTCACTGCTACAGGTAAGTGTCTCCAGTGCAAGTGAAGTCTGCAAGAAACTCCCCTCTTTTCATTGGCTCCTATTGTTTTTCTCAGTCATTTCCCCCTTGCCCTGGAGCATGAACAGATGAAACAATTAGGCTGCTATAAAAGGTGTGACTTAGCGCAGGTCAGTTAAATCCACTGCAAGGTTTGTCTGTCTGTCCTGCCCCACGGTCAGTAGGAGCTAAACAACAGTGATTTATCCCCATTTCATTTCAGCCATATCATTGCACTTTAGCTTCACTGCTTGCAGAGTAAGACCAAATAGTCATCCCCAAGGTCAGCTGGCATGGGTTGCAAGCAGTGAATAGCAGAGCTGTGTGAAATTTCGTCGGCAGTTTCGTTTCAAGATCAAAACAGCAAAAGCGAGATGAAACGGAGAGCTTCGAAACAAAACGAGGCCTTGAAACGAAACGCGGCAAATCAAAACGTTTTGAAGCTTAAGCTGGACTTGCCTGCAGGGAAACAAGCTAAAGTAAGGGGCTGGGGGAGGGGAGGATTGCTCTCATATTGACTGTGTAGCTAGCCGGTGACTGTCATCCTTCCCCGAGGTCCCTTCCAATCCCAGTGCTCTGGGAGAGGAATGGAAAAACTGCATAAAAGGCAGCATTGTTTGAACTGCCCTGCTTTCTGCCTTGGCGTCAGTTGAGTGAGGATGCACCTTAACACACACACAATGTCACCCACCCATGTCATGAATTTTGCCTGTCAGCAGCTAGAGGTGCAGGCCCCCAGACTCCCACTGCACCTATCTCCTTGCAGCTGGCAGGCTTCATGGCCGCAGCAGGGGCTAGCATGCCTGCAGTTTTCACCCCGCTGTGCTCCAAGACAGACAGTCCCACAAGCACCCATGTCACGTTTTGCATGTCGGCAGCCAGAGGTGCAGGACCTTTCACACACACACACACACACACACACACACACACACACACACACACACACACACACACACACTCTCTCTTACCCATGTCACAAGTTTTGCTTGTCCACAGCTTGAGGTGCAGTTTCCCCAAAGCCCCTGCACCTATCTCCCTGAAACTTGGTAGGCTTCATGCCCTCAGAAGGAGCTACCACTCCTGCAAGGTTCATCCAAATCAGGCTAGAAATGACCAAGTTATAGGCTGTTTTGAGCTTCCCCATTATAACCTATGAGCGAAACGTCAAAACAGTGAAATAGTTTCGACGAAGTGAAACAGAACAGTGGTTTCAAATTTAAACAAAATTCAAAATGAAACGCTGTTCTGTTGAAACGGAACGGTGCCATTTCACAGCCCTAGTGAATAGCACAGTTGTTCATCTATGCCCTGGGGTCTTAACCCTGCCAATTTAAACAATAGGGGGCTTAGTCACCCAGCTTGGTTTGTGAATTCCTCTCCAGAGCTGATTGGCTAACTTTTAGGGCCTGGTTACACAGTAATTTCAGGCAGCTTCTGGAGCTCTTAACCCTTGGACTGGCTGTACGTTAACACCTTTTAAGTGGCTTAAAGTTACTCTACTTCAGGGTAAGGTTATATCTAATCTGCCTAATTTTGCTTCTGTTCTGTTAAGGTGTGGCCACTCCAGACAGCTATTCTACCCAAGCTGAAGTCCTCCAGCATCCCAGAATGCAGTGGCCTTTCCTGAATTGGTGGGGGGTGGGGGAGCAGGGATGCCAGGGCACAGCTGGGCTGGGTATGGCCCCATAGCCCCTGAGGATGTCAGGCAGAGCGAGTGCTGGGGTGTCACCTGGACCAGCTCGCTGCTCCTGTCAGTGATGACATAGGAGGTTGAGCTCTGGAGAAAAAGGGGATTGGGTCCCTTGAAGCTCAGGTGGCACCTGGCTAGTGGTGATGGCTAGAAAATGGAATTTAGAGGTTTGTTTTTGGGAATTGGTTTGTAGGTCAGGTAGCTATGCATTAGAGCAATGGTCCAAGGCAACAGCAAGCCTGTTTGTGACAGTTTCTTCAAGGCCCATCGTGTCTGACAGGCAAGCAGATAGGCTGGGAAATTAAAGACATGTACCATATTGTTCCATAACATGAGATTAGGTGGCACCAGCTCACAGTGCCCAGGTGCAGAGTCCTTGGGATTTCCAGTTTTGAGGAACAGAGCGAATTAGGAGAACCAGGAAAAGCCAAAATTAGGTTGTGTGCATGTGTTGGTTTGTGAAACAAAAGAATATCCTGATGGGACAGAATGTGAACAGTGTGGTGACCACAGGCAGACCAATCAGTGGTGCCCAGAGATGAAGAGTCATCAGGAAAGAATACAAAAGGAGGGATTTCAGAACAGCAAAGTGTCCCTGAGCAGGGACCCCGAGGCCACCAGGGACAGAGAGCACGCCACCAGCCCATCTCGCCCACCTCACTGAAGGGTGGGGGGTGGGCCTTGGCCTTCAACCTCCAGGCTGCTGACATCTGACATTCAAGAAAAAACCTCAGGGTGAAGCTCGCGTGCTGGCCAAACATACCTCGACTCTGTGAACCCTGGGACTGGTAGATATAGAATTGTTTGCATTATTCTTACCTGCTCTCACTGTGTGTCAATAAAATTCACCTATTATCCAACGGTGATGTCGTGGTCAGTCTCAGAGTTTGGGCCTGCCCGGAACAAGGTATCTGGATCATAAATCTGGTGCCAACAAGTGGGGGACAGGCTCTGGATTAAAGGGTTGGGCCTCTCAGATCTCAGGCAGCAAAGCGATCTGGGCAGTAGCAAGAGGCACCGTGGCTGCTGGAGATGGTGAGGAGCTTCCTTAAGAGCTCAGCAAGGCAGCGAGCAAGCTCCCGGGCTGCGACTTCCCTGGGGCTCTCTGGTCTTGCTGAAACTGATACCGCAGCTCCGCGCTGAGAGTGGGGTTGTTGAGCTTGAGCCCCGGCAACCCTGCTCTCAGCATCCTGCCCCTGCTCGCCAAGCCCCCGTGCAGGTGAAGGGCAGTTGGAGAAGGATTTTCGCCATAAGGTGCGACTGCTCCCCTAAGCCAAA